CATTAAGAAATATAAAAATGTGTCTGTTTCCAGGCATGTTTTTAAACAATTCCCATATTTTGCTGCACCTAAAGTATGGTATTTCCAGTGTAGGTGTATGGTTCTTAGTGAAACAGTCAAGTCCCTTTGCCATGCTCTCTGAGAATTTTAACTACGGATTGATGTGTGATCTTCTGTGCCTAATCAAAAGAAAGAAATCATGAGGAAGGAAAAATAACAAGACTAATAGATGCCTTGGACTATCTGGATGGTTGGAACTTCAGTTTAGAGGGGATGTAGCGAAGAAGTTCTTTACAGTGAGCATGGTGAGACATTGGAACAGATTGCCCTGAGAAGCTGTGGGTGTCCCATCATTGGAAGTGTTCAAGGTTGGGTTGGATGGGGCCTTGAGCAACCTAATCTAGTGAAAGGCATGGCAGGAGTGTTGGCCTAGATGGTATTTAAAGGTCTCTTTCAACCCAGACAAACCATTCTATCAAAAATTTAAAAATAAAAAAGCTATGCAGTCTTTTCTGCAAAGATTGCTGATCTACAGGTGAGGAAAAGCCTTATCTAACATTAACATAAAATATCTTTTATATGGTGTACCAGTGATTTGCTGTCTTCTATAAATGTTACTCAAGCCAGTCATATACATATGAACTTCGGGGACATTTCTGTCCTGTCACTTGAGACTGGAAAAATTTCTTTTGTGCTGTCTGTGGAGGGCATTCTTTAGCCTTTTCCTCATTCTTGCTGTGCACGTAGCATATAAACATGGATTGCAGGGGTCACCATTTCAGAATAGGTCTCTGCCTCTTCAGGTGTTTTTTCAAGTGTATAGCATTTTGCTCTTCTTTTTCTCCATACTGATGATTTTGTCCATTGCCTCTTTATAGTTGCACAGTACCACTGGAGTGAATTGCATTGTGTTACCAGCATTCGTGATGCATTTCTTGCTTGGATGATGACCCAAAATTGCTCTGCTTCTTTGAGCAGAAAATTAAGCTCCAGAACTATCTCCCTGAGAGGGCTATGGAAGCTTTTTTCCATTTCCTGTGCAGTAGAAAAATTATCTTCAGGTGATCCTTCATCACTGGGGAAGGTTCACAATGGGAAGAAAAAAGGGAGCTGCCACTACATTGTAACTTATACAGACTGAAGTGTTTGGGGATGCTGAGGCTCCACTAGCTTGTCTGGTGCCTTAGATACTGGAGTCTTTGGGCTCTGATTTTTAGAGGCAAACAATAACAACCACAGCAGTTGATGTTAGCATTCTTCCTGGCCTGAAATATCTATTGTGTCTCAAGAATTTTTAGTAGTGTATTAGTTGTCATGTGAGGGGTGAGGCAATTGGAGGTTGCCTATCCTGATCATCAGTAATCATTTCAAGAGCTAATACAGTGATTGGTAGGATTTTCAGCCTCAGTAATATTTTGCATATCTAGTCCCTTTCTGAGTTTTGCTGTCTTTTTATTGGCTTTTCAGGAACTTGGCCAAGCTCTTTGCAAGTCCCTGGCTTCACATTACCCAATGACCAGAAAAGTTTACTGGAACAACTACATATTTGGAGTTAATGTGGTATCTGCATGTCTGTGCAAAAGCCTGTTTTTTGATTTACAGTTGCATGAGAGGAGCTTGAAATTACGGTTTGTAGGAACAGGGGGGTTAAGATGGTAGATAGACTCTTGAAAAGGGAGTTATTAGATCCATTAGCATGGTAGATAAACTTCTCCTGTTCTATTGATGTTTGTCTTCATCTTGCTTTTATGCTTCCTAAGGAAGAAGATGTAATATTATGTAAAAAAAAATTTGTCCTATCTTGATATTTCCCTTTTCTGCTGCTGTGAATCCCATGCTGGCCTAATTGACGTACTTCGCCCTCTTTCACATAGTTTGCTCAGTCTCTCGGGAGCTCTCTCCTCTAATGGAAACTTATTTCAGCTTGATGTTCTTCCTTAAAGATAAGCTGTCACCTGGGCATGTCACTTAAGGCCCAAAAACAATGAAAAAATAGTCTCCATTCAAGTTCTCTGCTCAGAACACGTGAAGACCTTGCTGGCCTGTCTACAGGGAACTGAATCACGGCTAAGTCGTAGATAGGCAAAGATATATTTTGCTTTATATAATGTCATTTGAGCAAAGAGAAAAGAGGAGCAAGAGTGTACTCTTCCCACCTCTTGAAATGGAGACTTTCTAGTTATAGCTGGCAGGGCACAAGCTTACCTGCAGTTAAATTGAAAATGTCAACAGCATGCCTCTGAAAATGTCTCAGCGTGCCAAGAACTCTGGTTTTGGCAAATATTTGTTCTTTATTATATAATTAGCTGCTCTCAGGGGAAAAAAAATTAAGGGTAGATTTGAAGTTTTTTTATATAGGCTAAATTAGATGTGCTTTGCAAGCAGTTTGTTTCCAGTGAGTATTCCTGTATCATTTCTCACAGGGCTGCTTACTGGGACATGTACAGACAGGTCTCAGTCACTAAGATTCATACGCTGCCAAATAAAATGTCTTGTTTTGTAGAAGTTTAATTGAAATAGACCCATGGAATATCTATAACCTGATGAATCTGAACAATGAAGTCTTTGCTGTGAATGCAAGTCATCACTGTTTTGGTGAACTTTGTCTTTAGTAAATTGCGTGACAAATGGTACTTGCCGGAGAGGATGGAAGGTAGTGACAGTTCTGTAAACTAAGTTGTTGGCACAGTTTAAAAGCTACTTGCATTCCAGCCCTTCCTAATACATGATTAGATCAATTCTCTGTTAGCCTGCTAAAATAGAGAATACAACCTTAAAATTAAAAGAGTTAGCAAGCAGAGCAAAGCGACAAAGATTAAGTACCTGTGATCACCACTACAAAGTACTCCTACAGAGTCAGCCTTTGCCACCTCTCACTGGGAGCCTTGGCCTAGGCAGCCGTCTCTGGTCTCCTGGTGTCTTCTTACCAGCACAGAGTTGTCATGCTACGGATCTACATCGAGCAAACCAGTCCTTCAGCGTTAACATCACAGAATTTGATGGTTGGGAAGGGAAGGAAGGATGTCAGAAATATTTCAGACCTGATTACGGAGAAGACGCTGCTTCACAGATTGTTTTCTCTTGGCAGCTGGCAGATTGACACAGGCCGTTTTGATTGTTGCGGTTGGCTGGGGGCTTGTTGATCTGAGGTGGTTTTCTGTTATAAGCTAAGGGTTTTATAGTTGGCATGCCTTTTATTCTCAGTTTAAAGGGAAATGTTTATGTGGGTAGTTCTGATCCACCCAAAGGAAGCAGAAGCTTATATTCTAGAAGCTGGTACACAAGTACACCTTCACTTCCCACCACGTTGCAACTTTTCTCTTTCTAAGAACCAGTTTCCATCCTAGTAGTATTTTTGCTGTTCATTGTTTCTGCAGTTCTTTGCATTCTTATGTGTTTTCTCTATTTCATTTTATGGAGTTTTCTCTTTGTTTTAAAAATTGGGGCTTTCTGATCTTGTTTTGCACACTAATAAAACAGGGAAAGTTTGGTTAGTATATCCATGCTCACCAGTTTGTATTATGTGTCACTGAAATTCTCCTTTGGTCTGTTGAATACTGGATGAATTTTGGGCTGTACATCTTGAATAGTTTTTGAGAATCACTTTTTTTTTTTTTTTTTTTTTTTTAGTTTGCTGAGCATAAGAATCCTTTTGGCAGCTGCATTTGGGTGGAAATAGATAGGCTTTCTACAGTAAACACTGCACAATGTCTGTGCTAGATTTTTATGAATCTGCTAATTCTGAATTGCAATTTTTCTTGCTCTGTCACTGATTGAGGATGAAGACCAATCTTGTTATCCGTTTTGGTTCTGTCTTTAGGAATACAGGATTTATTGAGGCATGTTACATACCCTCCCTCCTCCAGCTCTTGTATAGCAAATGACACCCCCAACTCTTTTTATAACAACATGTAATTAGAAATCTAGCTTAATATAATTTCAGTAATTCACTTCCAGGATGGATCACAAGCTGATGGTTTTACAGGGATGTAAAGGCAATGCAGTGCTGTGTTGTCATACTAAATTTATACAAATGTTTGATTATGTGCACTGGTAGCATCTGAGCTTCTCCCATTAGAAGCACATTATAAAGCTGTTTATGAACACTTGGTTGTGACAGGAAGAGAAAACCTGTTTAGAAGAGGTCAGCGAATGTAATGTGTTATAAAATTATATAAAATATATTAAATTATAAAAGCACATCCAGAGGTTTTTGAATGTTACGTGTAGTTGACTTTAGCATTTATGACTAATTAACATACATGTTAATTAATCATAAATTTTAGCTGAGACAGAACTTGTTCCAAGTGTAAAACAAAAGTACTCTTCATCTATGCAAAATCTATGCTAGAATTTACAATCATGTTAATTCTGAATCTTTCCTAATTTGCTGGAGATATGAGCATTGTTCTGCTGTACTTCTCTGCCATCAGCAACTCTTTGAATGTCTTATATTGCTAAATCACAACATGTGCCTATCAGCATTGTTCAAGTGGTATTTTGAGGGAAGTAGCCTTACATCTTCATGGGAACCCAATCCTCTCCCTGTTTTGGAAACAATACCTTTATTCTTAAAGTACATATGTAGTTTCTCTTTAGGCATCATTCAAAATGGAAGTTTTTTATTGTTTTGTTACGTTATCAATGTATTTCATTCAATACCTTCCATTTCTGTGGGCCAATTTTAACATGTACAGGCCATCCTTTTATCCTTGGGGTACATTTTCTAAAACAGAAACACAGAAGAGTTGAAGATTTCTATTGTAATAGTAACTTTCCAGTGACAAAACTAATTTAATTCACAGGCTGTAATGTTACTTCAGTCAAGTATAGACATACTGTCCACAGCAGTAGATGTTGCTTCCAGCCTACAGAAGTGTTGTGCAGCATACATGCACTGGTAACCTGTGTGCTCCCATTGAGCTGAGACATTTAGTAAATTCCAGTTGATCACATTATGCTGTTTTTCTCTCCTCCTGTCTGCTCCAAAAATGTTCTAGGTAGAAGAGCTGATGATGGCCATGGAGAAGGTTAAGCAGGAGCTGGAGTCAATGAAAGCAAAATTGTCCTCTACACAACAGTCTTTGGCTGAGAAGGAAACCCATTTGACCAACCTACGAGCTGAAAGAAGGAAACATTTGGAAGAAGTCCTGGAAATGAAGTAAGTGTCTTCTTTCATTATTTGTAGGCACGTTTTATTGATATCTCTGAATTCCTTTCTGATCCCTAGTGTTCTAAAGACAGCCACTGCATGCACATGTCTCTGTTTGACTGATCTGTAATCAGTTCAGCCTTCAGAATTTACTTCTGGCCAGGGATTACTGACATGACTGTCACACTTCCAGAGAGCTCAGAAACATTTCTTCCTTGTCATTATTTACAGTAGACTACTATTATTTGCACAATAGCATCTTCAAAGATTCTTCAAACAACTATTTTATGTCTTATGAACATGCCATCTTGCTTTCAGCAGCCTATAACTACTCTAAGGTAAGGTGCAAGTGTCAGTGTAGCAAATGAAAAAAAAAGAGGGAAGAGAGAGGGAAGAGATAAACATAATGTCAGATGTTTGTAATGTTAAAATCAGACTTCAGAGATCTGTTCTGCTCACATATTTTTCAAACTAATCTGAATGGTTCATTAACACTGAAATTGTTTGAAGTTCTCTATCAGTCAGAATTCTCTCGTCATCTTTGCATAAGAAGACCTGGATAAAACCAAGCTTTGAGGAGATGGGGAGAAGTGAGGAATTAGACTTCTAAGGCTTAAATACTTCCTAATTTCTGACTGTGCATTATAGATAAATAGTTATCCTTAGTTTAGGGAGACATGAATCCGTTTAGTGCAATGATGGATAGTGCTGCCAGCAGTTCATTAGAAACACTTTCAGTTGTTTAGCCAGCCCTGAAGAGAAGGAACATTTTTATTGGCAGGACCAGCAGTGGTTCCTCCACTGTGGTTTTGTGAGCCATTATTTATTTATTTAACTATTCTACGCTGGTCTCCCTTTTTTTTTTTTTTTATTTTTTAATGAAAGGATAGAAAAACAGCTGTTACAAAATGGAAAGAGGTGGCTTAGATCTTGAAATTCTAACTTAGGAGTGCTGTATAAAGTGGGCCAAGCCTCCCCAGCTTCATATTCCACTACAACAGTCTGATCTAGACCTGGCGTAAGGATGTTGGAAGACTACAGTGCTTAAAAGCCACACTTTTTATTTTTAATAAAAAATTTTATTGCACTATAAATTTGACTGCCTTGAGAGTTGGGGGGTGGGAATGGGAAGAATAGCTCTTAAGGTGATGTGGGAATCCAAAGCAACTGGAGATGTATCCCATATCCAATCACTTGACAGCATTTTCTTCTGCCAAACTGCTGTGCCAAACCTTCTCATTAAAATACACACGTAGTGTACAGTATATCCTGAAACGTATTTGGAATTGTGTAGATCCTTTAATATAACTACTCACTTCTAAGTGATGACCTCTCTTAGCTGTGTAAGTTATTGTTGGAAAGCTGTTGTACTGAAATGTAGTATCAGGAGCTGCATGAACTGGTAGATCCATTGTACCTCAGAAGGAAGAAGAACGCTGGAGAGAATGGTAATGCTGTCAGCACATGGAGAGAAAGATGGAAAAAACATTATGTTTGTATAGTTAACTAGCTGAGCGTGTTTTAGTCATAGCTGGTCTGTCCTAAAGTTCTATAAAGCTGCCAAAGGCATCCAGACTTCAAAAACTCACCCTCACCATGAGGCTCTGTTGCAAACAAGTCTCTACTGAGGACTCCCAGTCAATTAAATATCTTATTTTTATATACAGAAACTCCAGTATATTCTTTGTTGCCCTGCTTTCCCAGCCTATGCCCTTTATGAAAAGCATTCTTGTTTTCTGTTTTCTAGTTTTCCAAAAAGTTTCTCATGTTGTTAAAGTATTTTCTACTATTTCAGCTCAAAAATATAACATTAATTGAATGAGTGGTCAGTTTTGCAAAGCAATTGGCTGCTTTTAGTGTTCCTGACAAAAAGCAATAGCTGTTGTACAGGTAGTGTTCAAGGACACAGTAAAGAAGGTTTATTTCCTAGGTTTTAGGGCATGCTTCACTGGGAAAAGTTTGAGGTGCTCAAAAGCAGCACTGATTAAATTTGAGATTTGATAGAGGTGTAGATTTAACAGCCTGGGCCCTGCAGTCTGTTAGTGGGGCTGGGGAAGCAGACAAGAAAAATAGCTTAGGAAATGCAGCTTTAGGATATTCTAGATATGGACTGAAAGAAAGTGTTAAAGCAACAAGGGGACTCCAGAAAGTTACCTTTGGGTTTTAGTGGGAAGTTGTTAGATATTATGTTAGTGAAAATATATGTTTAAAGTCCTGTTTCTTAGAGTGGAACTTGTGTTTACTACTGACTCTGTAACCCAGAGAAGATCATTTCACACTCCTTAGGGCAATAGTGTGGCATTAGAATAGCTCAAGTGTGAATTATTCCAAGCAAGACATTTCACTCCCTAAAGAAATACTATGTATTTGGAAGCCCTCTTCCTTTAAGTCTAGTATTTTCATTTTCCTTTAAAAAAACTTTATTGCAAATAATTATGAGAGAGGTAGATAATGGTCTCTATTTATATCACCAAACCTGATCTGCTGTAAAGAAATACTAGTGAACTGCTAGGATTTTTGTTTTGTTATGTTTTCTTTAAGAAGTTCTAATGTTTCCATCATTCACAGCAAATCTTTTAAATTAGGCAGGAATAAAGTGCTGTCTACAGAGAAATCTCTGTTCTTTGTCCCATAAAAACCTGCTTAGGCTGAGCTGAGTTATAAACTGTTGAAAATCACCAGTTTTCCTTTCCTTTTTTTTTTCCTCCTGGTGTTGTCAGCAGATTTTGGCAGTGTGTGAAAATAACCGAGCACAAACAGTCTAATCTGAGGCCGAACTCATGCAATTGCCAAATCTGGAGCAGTGGACACTGCACTTATAGGGAAGGGGAACAGACACCGTGTCTGCATGGAGAGAGGGAATTTTTTATTTCTTTCTTTTTTTTTTTTTTTTAAACTAGGCAGGGCTTTTGTTATGGTCAGAAGGACCAGAAGGTTCTTCCTAGTCATCTGCTTTAGGATTGAGAAGTCCCAGTTGAAGCATTTCTCAATCTGTTCTTTCAGACCTGGAAAACTGTCCAACAGCCCTTTCCTGAATTATGCCTTCTCTTGCTAATTGCAATTGCTGCTAGCCCTATAATTCAAGGTATGCAGACTTACATAATGTGGTTGGCGCTTCAGACTTGAATCCTTCATCCTGCTGGCTCACAACAGAGAGATTATTACTTGTCTGAGAATGATTTACTGTCCTCTTGTCTCTTGAAAAATAATCAGGGATATTACAGAGGAATAAATGGTTGTAATAGAATATAATTCATGTTTCAAAACCAAGCTGTCAAAAAAGACATCGTTTGATTTCTTTCGTGACTGTACGTGAGTGGTTTTTTGAATATTTATCACCGTAGTTTCTAATTACATGAATTCATCCCACAGATAGTGTTTCGTTTGATACAGAGTGGAGGAGGTGATCAGAGAGGAACCAGACCAGGCCTGTTTGGCTTAATAAGGCTGTTTATTGTATGCCTCCCTTTTCTCATCTTAGACTTGGAAGGCCTGCTGAGAGCTACAGGAGGGCTCCTAATAAAAACAAGATACCAACCTAGGCAGTGCTATGCAGGAAGACTGTTCACCCATATTTCTGCTACAGTTTTCTTGCATGATTTGACTTACCAACCATCTACCAGATATTTCTAAGTCCACGTGTTCATTTTCTGGCTGTCAGATAAGAAAAATACACACACACCCACACACACACACTCGAACACTCACAACTGAAATTAAGTCAGTGGAAGCCGAGGTTGTTTATCTTCTGTAAAGTTCATCTCCTCAGCAATAAAGCAGCATTGTCTGGAGGTATGAGTAGGGAGTTCAATCTGAAAGTAGTCCAAAAGAAACTGATTAATTGACACAGTTTATTTGCCAGAAAAGTAATTTCAGTTGATCCAAGATGAGGTGCGAAGTAATTTCAAACCCTACAAACAGTTTAACCAAACAAAAATATTTCAGGTTGCATGCACCCGTGGTGAACAGAACCAGAAAAAAAAAAAAGTATCAATGACCATCCAACAATAACTTGTCAGCTCATCAACAATTGTCTTCCTGGAAATTAAAGAATTTCTTTTTCGTCATTATAGAGGCTGTGGTTTATGCATGTGGTTTAACAACAGTTCTCCAGAGCAGAAGTGATTGCTGGTTGCAGAAGTACTTGTATGTTCTGTAACAGCTATGAACAGATGGCTCTGTGGTTGGAAATGGCTGCGTTTGTTGTCAGTGCCACAAAGCAGTAACAAGTTAACCTTCCATCTGCAAGGTGTGACTTTCTGGGCCCAGCAGAAGCTCTTTGTCCTACTGAACTGGGCTCACAAGGTCTGTGGTCACTCAGTGTGTCAGGCATGATCACACATGATTGCAGCAGTGGTACCAAAACATCTCCTGTCATTGCTTGGTGTGACATTAAATAAGCTGAAGTCCCACAGGGGGCACTCCGTGTCCATAGGATTCACTGTCTGGGGTGAAGCTGAACAAGTGCATCTGTGTCAGTCCTTTTTTTTTCTTCTGTGAGCTCAGGTATTTTCTTTTTTAAATGTCTTTTGCAGGGCACACAGTGAAAATGAGCACACTAATATTCTACTGCTGTTGTTTTGCTCTTTTTAATTTTCAAGCATAAGATATTTCATTACATATGTTGATTTTAATCCTGTATCGTCACCCAGTTAAGTTGTAAAAACTTCAGTTGCAGTAGTCTGAAATCTGAAAAACAGTAGATTTCTTCATTACTGAAGAATATAGACATCACACTTAAATAATTTGAAATAAACTGACCTTGGAACTGCTGTTAATTCAAATTCTCACACAGGATCCAATAGGAAAGCTGAAATACAGCATGTAGATATATTCTGTGTCTTCTAAGGTTAAAGTTTATCTAAAGACCAGACTTCTTTTTTTTTTTTTTTTGCAAACTCCACAGTTGTCACTGTAATGAAACATTGGGCTTTTCATAAATGTGATTGTACATCTTGCTTACCCTCAAATTGAGTGTCTTCTGCTATTATTTTTTTTAATTCAGGTGA